CTGCCAGATTATCTTTAAATAAAGAAATTAAATGGATCTGACAGAATTTTCTTTGAATTAAATAAATTAGTAAAAAATTAAGTTTTTTTTTCACTGCGGCCCAACACCAAATGACCTATGGACTGGTACTGGTCCGCAGACCAGGGGTTGGGGACCCCTGATCTATACAGTCTTCCAGTTACAACCGGCCCTTCAAGGGGAACTGTACTGCTAATGTGGCCCCCGGTGAAAATGAGTTTGACACCCCTGCTCTAAAATGTAAAGTGTATTTCTGTATACCGTGATGTAAAACAACCATATATGTACTCCATATATGTACTCAATATGGTTGTTTTCTTCTTTGGTAAATAGCGCCAGTTCAGTTTTATTTTGAAGGTTTCCTATGTTACGGGTCGTAGTCATAGGTGAGTCCAACGCACTTGACTAAACGCCTTCTGCTCATGTCTGCCCTGCGTACCACTGTTACTATAGCAACAACTTCACCGCCAGCTCCACGTCGTGATCATTGGAGGAGAAAGAAAGAAAAGACAAGAGATCCATTAGCATAACTTTGAAATTAGTGTATTTACGAAAGAATTCGACTTGTAAACATGTCGTCCATTCAAGAGTCGAACAAAAACGTGTAAGGGAAAGCCCAGCGTGGATGAGCTGAATAATTAATTAAGGAACGAAGTCAACTGGTTAATCACACCTGTTTGGAATTGATACGAAATTGTGAGGTTTCACTCATTCAGCTGCGAACACCTCAAACATTGTATGGAGAACAGAAATGATCTATGAATATGTTGAGAACTGTTTCAAAAACCTTGGCAGAGTAAATTAAAAAGTTAAAAAGAAATAAAGCTTTTTTTAAATACAACAGGAATTCAAATTTTTGGTTGTTGTTGTTTTTTTTACTTTTTCCCCTGGGACAGGGTCATGCAGATTAAGCATACTTGAGAGTCAGTCATACTTGACTTCAAGAGGAAATATTTTACATTTGAACTTGAAAACAGAAGAGGAAATATTTTACATTTGAACTTGCTGCATATAATACAGAAGACAGGTGCACACAACAGAAAACCTGGGTTTAGTTTTATCCCTGATGTGACCAAAACTGAGGTCAGTGTCTGGGCATTTAGCTTCATGGAAGTTAACATTTTGTCCTTTGTTAATTTCATTGTGCTTACAAGATATAAAAAATAAGGAGGGCAGGGAAGACAGAGTGCAATTGCATGAAATTTAATGTAGTTTATTTGAACATTTTAAATGAACATAACTAAAAAGGAATGAAGGTCCCGGCCCAACAAAACAAAAGGAAACTGCCAGTCCATCCATGCAGTTGACAGAGTAACATTATGCCTACAGATACACACACAAAAAAAAATTAACAGGACTACTGTGGACCTCGACTCCAAAGTTAAACAAACCAGGCAACCATTAACTGAATCACCATGGATTCTCATGTCTAGTCCTTGATGAGGCCAGAAGGAAACTGATAAAGTAACTACAAACGCTTGATCATAAAGAAAATCTTCATTTATTCTGTTCTAAATTACTTTGCATTACTTTAATTACTTTACATTGACTAGTCGGTAGCTTTTTTTAGAGGATAATGTACCATGGATGGACCAGGTCACAAAAGCAGAGGGATCCAACTCTGATTTTGTAAACTGCATACATGGTACAACACTAAATAAGAATTCATGAGTGGATTTCGTGAAGAACAAGGGGTGAGGAAAAGTTAGGTTAGTAGTGAAGTGAAGTGAAGTGTGAAGGAAATCCAGCTCATTAAACTCTGTAAACTAAAGCAAAGCAAAAACTAAACCTAGGATCAAGCGTTAAGTTTAATTCATCAGTGACCAAAGACCACATCTTTGAACAGCCATGAAATGTCATGCTGATTTGTAAACGGTCAACCTTATGACTATTTAAAAAAAATAATAATAATAAAAAAAAAAAAAATCCATATTCTGCCACGCAGGGTTCTTGGATTCCTTGGGGTCAGTACCTAAACATGGATAAGTGAAGTAAGTGTTCAGCACAACAAACTGACCCTAACAGGTGTTGTAATTTAGTACAAACCTTAAGACACCCAGGAGGAAGGAGGCGGGTCTGGATTATCTTGGCTACAGTCGTGACTTGATCTGACTAGGATGTAACTTCTCCAGGTTCTGTAGTCTCACGTCTGCTTTCCATGCTCATTGATACTGGGTTAAACATTCTGAAAGAACAAAACAAGAGCAAATGAGTTACAGTGACCCCGAGAGCGGAAAGAACAAGACAAAATAAAATTGAGCCAGTAGATTTGAATAAAAAGAATTACCATTCAAAATTTGGTCACATGACAGTGGAATTTGGTAATGGAAAATGAATATAGAAACTCAATCCCTGCCTCACCTCAGGTCCCTTTAACCAGGATCCAACTTCTTCAAACTTCAACTGTCCCATAGAATCCTAGAGACACAGATCAGATCAGTCAGTGCACAGATTAAAGTAGAACAGATTTAGTTATGGTCAATGTGAGGAACAAACCTTAAGAAAACCTGTGGCTGAGAAAATCTTACTAATAAGGAGTTGGTTCATGTGGGCCACCTTCACCCTGTAGTCCAGGATCCAGATTTCCAGAGCTTGTGTGTGGATGCAGCGTCAACACATCTGGATAATAAATGGGAATAAAGAAAGTCTTACAGTTTAATTGATCTAACTTGGCACATTCAGTCAATAAAGAGAAGACTTGAGTGAAACCTGCACCACCCACATACAGTGAAAATAGAACTCTTTTACAGCACTCACTGAGGTTAAACATCATTTAAATAAATTAATAAGTGCATTCATCTCCCAGGTCACTCAGCCCTGAACTTAACATATAACTATACATAAGAGCGCCATTACCCTTTGCCATCCTCTATGCTCCATTACTCTAGATAACCAACATTTGGGCAGACACTGAAATGTTTGATCTACATCTAAACAAATGATTTCAGCTGAATTAACTCCACAAGTAAGCTAACATTTAATAATATATCTATATACATCCAGTAACAAAATTACTGGTCACATCGTCACAGTTACAGCATTCCATGGATAGCCAGAGTCACAAAACCAGAGGGTTCCATGTCTGGTTTTGGAAACAGTGTCCACAGTGTGCTAAAGAGGATTAATGGCTTGATTCCTTAAACAGAAGAAAAGGGAAAGGACAAACACCATCCCCTTTAATGAGTCAACTCAGTTAACTTTGTTCTGGATAGAACGACAGGACACCAAGCTCATTACATCCACACTCACAGTTATGCAAATAGGTAAATTCTGTTTAGCAGACATTACCAGAGTGGTTTGAGTAGTTAAATAAGATGAATCATTTGATTGAAATGGGAACAGACCATCACAGAATAGTCACCATTTCTTCATCATTATGCTTAACTAAGAATTGACCTGAAGGACCCAAGTCACACAACCTGACTGTGTTAGACAGTTAGCCCTAACAATTAGCTCACTGGATGGCCAATGTTGTAGTGGTAACGTGGAGAGTTTGCTACTAAAATCTGCTCCTCTACTAAGGTTCTAGTCTCTAGATTTCCTTTACCTTTCTAAACTTTACACAAAATCAAAAAGTTAAAAAAATGCAAGCCAAGTAAATTGGGCAGCGATTAACAAAGGTCTACATCAGTTCCTTCATCTTCTGCGATTCAGCTCACAAACATTGTCGATACAATTTTTAAAAGAAGTTTTAAATATTAACTTAATCAAAGTCTTGGGTTGTCTCTTTGCCAAGTAGATTTTCTATTAAAGAACCTAAACGCGCAACCTAACCTGTATGCCTACCAGATAACCCCAGCATGTTTAAAAATTTATTAACTTAGCCCTGCAACTATTCAGTAAATTGCGGCAATTTGCAGAGGACAATAGTCCCCTGGTGGGAGGCCTCCCAACGTGTCGTCCTAATACCACAAAGGGCTTACAAGTCTTTAACAGGAAATGGACTTGGCAGAGGGAGACAAGCCAGCTCTTAAAGTCCAAACTCTTTATTGACATGAAAGACCATTTAGGGCCAAATAGTGTCACAGAGTTTGACTGAATTGGCAAGTTTAAATTTGACATAAAGTTTAATTTAAAAATAACATGTATGAGCTGAAATCTAATTAAAACCCAACACCTGATGACTCCACAGCAGCATATTCATGGGCCTCAACAACAAAGTCAAATACTTAAATAACCTTACAGTACACTTCTTATAATACTAAACACCCCGGCCCCAACTTTCAATATACTTTGGGCAACAAGCTGAAAATTAGCAGCACGTAGTAGATTCACAACTGGCTTAATATTCTGACAGGCACTCAGCCCAGCTGTTGGTGACCCTGATCAACTCAGAACAAGCTGTACACCAGTGAAACATGCAAAATGCAGATAAAGACGAACATAGAGGGTTATTCAAAAGGTGCACAAGTGCAAACAGACAAAAAGCACAGACAGCGATCGTGTCTTGTATACAAACCCATCATATACTATACCATGACTGGTACAACTTTTTAAACAATGGTCCTTTGACCAAAAGCAAGCTACTACAATAAACAGTTCCATATGTGAGACATAATTAGGCTCCTGAATTAGTCAAGACAATATACATGCATACACATTTACAAAAGTCTAATAGTCAAGCATAGTACATAGTATAATACATAGAAATATACACTGACAAAAGTATAACTAGAAAAAAAAATACAATCACAAGTCTCAGTCAAGCAAATACATAGAAATTTACATTGACAAAAGCATTACTAAACAAGCAAATACATTCACAAAAATATAATCGTCAAACAAATACATATGAATACACATTGACAAAAGGTTACAAAAGCAAGGAATACACATGACTTTTAGAGTCCTGGACAACCATGTTGATAGGTGAAGTTGGAATGCAGGCAGTCACACTCTGGACAGCAACTGGACAGCCAGAAAGTTGCAGCAAGTGAAGTGGCGAAAACTGCAGAGAAGGACAAGGTCTTCCAAAATTGATGCAAACGATCAGGACATCCAAGATTGACGCAATCGATCAGGTCATCCAAAATTGACGCAAACGACCAAAATTGTAGAAAATGACCGCAACGTCCAAAATTGTAGAAAACGACGCAAACGCAACATCAAAATTGGAGAATGTTATAATTATTCAAACTGCCAGTGAACACTAAAACTGCCATTAGATTATGATTGACGCAAACGACCAAAATTGTAGGAAATGACCGCAACGTCCAAAATTGTAGAAAACGACGCAAACGCAACATCAAAATTGGAGAATGTTATAATTATTCAAACCGCCAGTGAACACTAAAACTGCCATTAGATTATATTACTCTTATAAGGTGTAAAATTACACCCCTAATGTAATGTTATTAATAAGCTCTTTATCTTCTCTTCATCTAAGGACAGGGACAGATGGAGGCCAACTGGATAGCCATCCAGCGAAGAAAAAAGAAAAAATCTGGACTCACCTTTTGTCGACAGCACCTAAAAAGTAATACTTGTTTTGTCTCAATGTGTGCAGTAACATCTTCACACTCAAACGAACTGCTGAGCTTTAAAACCACTCAAGTCATTCAATTAAAAGTCCACATCACACTGCAGACACTCCATCACCTACAAACACCGAAACCATCATGGTCAGAAATCAGAGCCAACATTTACCTACTTGCCCAGCAGTTCCACAACCACACCATTGAAACAGACAAAAGAACCTAGAACCTAGTCACAAGAACCTAGTTATGCCAACCACTGGCAGAGAGACGACCACGTGCACGTACACCGACTAGCTAACAATCCTCCTGTTTGTGGCTCTCGCCCCAAAACCCAACTTTAACAGCATATAAAGTAAAGACGGGATACAAACAGGGCGAATGGCAGGTGGCCATTTTCTGTTTGTACTGCCATGTTTCAAACATTCAAACACACATTTAGCAAGCACAGCGGACCAACAGAGCAAAGCGGCGGCGCAGCGACCGCACAGAATAAAATAGAAAAGACGACGCTCCCTACTGTGTTGAAGATCTTCAGGACGATCAATCTGGAAAATAAACCAGTGAGATAGTCGTATTAAGTGCCGAGTCGTATTAAGTGCTGAAGTTTTAAAGTGGAGTGTGTCTCCACTGTTAGCTCACCTTGTATTTCAGTTCCAGCAGTATACCTTGTCGCGGACAACTTCGACCTCGTTTTCGTGCGCAGAAATCACAACGCATCTGTTCAACCATTGCTGGTTTCAACAAAGCAAAAATAATAAATCCTTAAACAATGTTCTCCCACTTAAAGTGAAGTCAGAGTTATTTAACTAACCGAAAACACAGTCAAAACGCCAATACAAATTCAAAAGTCACTTACCTTTCCATACCGGACCAGACCGAGCCGCCAATAAGGAATAACACCGTTCACCTCTGGCTTTTATAATGAGCCTAAACTTTTTTTCAACGTCTGACGTAACACGCCGCGACATTTTTTTTCATCAGTTCTGTTCTGGTTCATCTTTATGACGTAGCTACACCGACAAAACAATGGCTGTGTCCGAAAACGCAATTACAAACAATTAACAGTCTTAAATGAAATGACAGTTTATATGTTATATTTTAATGCAGCATAATTAAAAGGATACAACATGTACTACCTAAATCACCGAGCGCTTTGACTCCTTTAATTTATTGGTCCACTCATTGGGATGTCCCTGCAACCACATTTCTTTCCACTGAGCGGCGCAAAAGTCCTGCGTCCCCGTTCACTCACTGAAATTAAAAGCAGAAGAGGCTTTGTTGATGTCACGTGACATATGACGTAGCATTACAGCGAGTTGACAAATAATCGTTGGTTTGAAAACAGGACGAAATTCGGAGAAACGCTCCATTATGAGACAGCAGCGTTAAAGAAACGGACCTTTCACTTTGTATGCGAAGAAGACAAGACCTACTGACTTTTAACAGGAACTCTTAATGCGTTAGCATTAGCACTAGTTTAACTTATAACGTTAACAACCCAGAACGATTCTGCCTACACTGGGAGTACAGTAGGTATGCTTTCCACTCTACTCTGTATTACTGTACATCAGTAATGATAGTTAATAGTGGTGTTCGTCAACATAATTTATCTTTTAAAATGTATTGTTAGTCCGTCCATCGATAATATACAGTGTAATGAGTCGTCTTTTATTAACCCAGGTGTAACTGTAACCCAGTTACAATTCCTTTACTACGAGGAAGTATTGAGAATGCAAAAAAGACTAGCCGTACATTAACGAGTCAGGTTTCCAAGAATATAGTCGTAAATTTATCAGAATAAAGTCCTGATATGAGTATAAACGTAATAAGACGACAAACTCCTTTTACATTTGTGATTGTGATGCTGATGGGACAGAATATTTTTGTAAATTTACAACTTTATTCTCGTTAACCTACGACGTTAGTTAAATAGACTTTATTTACATCACATTTGACTTCTAAAAACCCATTATCTTTCACTTTCACTGGTCTGAATATTCCATTCGACTTTATTGTTGTGAATATACAACTTTTAGACGTGTTTATTGCTATTTTACCCTTAATGTGGTCCTAATACTCTGTCGTACCTTACCTTAAGGAACCTGCACTCTCTACCTCAATCTCTATTGTTTCATAAAAAATTTTTATCATTGTCTCAGGTGCTATCTCACAATGCGTACTCGACAGAGAAGCTCCCAGCTGGGCCTGTTGCTTTTGGCCTCACAGCTGTTTCGAGTGGGTCTGGACAACATCCCACCTGTCACCATGGCTGTGCTTGCTCTCAATGTGTACCTGTATATTTTTCCTGCAGCACCACTTTTGCAGGTCAGACTAACTGTAATTAAACACCAACCAATTACCTGTAATAAAAATTCTATATTCCTCTGAAAACATTCCATGCATTATTGCCTTTTAGAACTCACATAAAAATTATTTTTGGTCACATCCACAGACCTGTATAAGTGTGCAGCAGGCATACTGGCTTAAGGACTGGCGTCGTCTCCTGCTGTCGCCGCTGCACCATGGTGATGATTGGCACCTCTACTTCAACATGGTGTCATTCCTCTGGAAAGGAATGAAACTGGAGAGACAGCTTGGTGGAGCCTGGTTCCTTTATTTGCTGTCAGTCTTTTCTCTGCTCACTGGAATAGTGTATCTAGTGTTGGAAGCAGCATTGACAGAGCTAACAGAGGACCCATCCTACAGCATGACCTGCGCTGTCGGTTTCTCAGGTACAGAGCACTGCGTGCAATGTTGGAGTTGTGCTTTTACAACTCTAAATGAACAATAAGCTCTATATATTTATAATCATACACTCATATACAACCAACTTCAACTTTATTAATTAGTATATTTTTACAAAAATGTCTCTTAATGGCTTTGCTGCCAGGTGTCCTGTTTGCTCTGAAGGTGCTCAATAACCATTACAATCCTGGAGGTGTGACATATGTGGTTGGTATCCCCATATCAAATTCCCATGCTAGCTGGGTAGAGCTGGTTTTGATCCACATCACGTCTCCTGGGTGAGTTATATTAAAAAAAAGTGAAAATGTTTAAATAGTCTTTATTTTATTTATTTTTTCTAGAATTAACTGTTATTTGTATGTGCAATCTGTAGCACTTAACTAAAAGTGTCCACAAGATGGCAGTGTTTTGTAATTTACGCTGAGTTTTTTTTTTAATATCTTCAGGACTTCGTTTGTCGGTCACCTCTCAGGTATCTTGGTGGGTTTGCTCTACACTCTAGGCCCCCTAAAGGCCATCATGGAGAAATGTGCAGGTGCGAATTTATGGGTTTTTTTTGCATTCATTTTAAATTAGACCAAAGTCTCTCACTTTAAATAAGTAAAGTCTGAAATGTATTTTGATGAAATGTATTAATCAGTCTTTCATCAGACTAAATAATTTAGTTTTTTTAAAGTTACAAAACATGTAAGGGAACAAACTTCAGCCTCAGTATTGATCTGTATACAACTCAGTCAGGCTTAGTGGATAAGTTACAAAACATGTAAGGGAACAAACGTGCCTCAGTATTGATCTGTATACAAATCAGTCAGGCTCAGCGGATTTTAAACGGATATTGTCTGTTTTGCTCATTAGATTTTCTGACATCAGGTAGAAACAACTCAGGAACTTCAGGTATGTACAGCAGAATATATGCTTCACAGAAAATGCACAGCACATATTTCCTGTATACAATTCATTTAAAAAAATGCTTCCTATGATGCTCAGGATATCATCAGTATCCATCGGGTAACACATCAAATCATTCAGAATCACACACAGGCGGGCTGACGGAGGAGGAACAGTTAGAGTTGGCCATCAGGAACAGCCTGAACGACAGAGGTACTGTATATGAGGAGAGTGTTGATAATTTCCAGAGAGTGTCGCTGCGTTCTAAATTTACACTGTATACTTAATGACTGTTTACTTTTAAAGGACAAGCAAGACACGGAGGAGCAACTCCTCCTCCCTATGGTTTCAACCTAGCAGAGGAGATCAGACTGAGGAGACTGAGGCGGTTCGACAGCTGAACTACCAGGTAAAACAAAGAAGAAGAAGAATTCACACCTGACGCCTCGTCCAAAGTGCCTGCAGCACAGTGATTCAACCACCAAGTTACTCTCATTCATTGGCTTCTTTCACTCAACCAGTGCAGTTGTTTGCAATGAAATGACTTGTGTGTTTATCCCAGAGTTATCTCCACGACATATTAACTCAAAGCCTAGAAGCAATTGGCTTCTCTGGAGCAACATAAAGGATGATTGAACAGAGTTAATCAAAATATTAATATTTTTGTGTCATCATATATGTAAGTATTTCATACTCCTACAGTATATTTGGTATAAATGCAGTTCCTGGTTGTTCTTTAGGTCCTAAGGAAGACCACCTCACTGCTACGACTAAACCTTGTTATAGCTTTTGCTAAAAAATTTTGTTTTATGCTTTTGTCATAAAAAATAAAGTTCTTTATTTTTGATAAATACACAACTGTATTTTTTGCTTTGTCAATCGACACAAAAGTACTCATTGTATCGCGCTTCACTGCGTGAAGATTATTTGACAATATAGAGTATATCGCTACTTTTATTTATGACATTAACAGGGATACAACATGCAGTAAGAAATACAACAAACACATTCTTCAATATTTAAACATTGAATATTTTCAGTATGACGTTAAAAACAATGGGTCACTTATTCCTGGATCAGAAATCAGAATTCTGTCTGATAAAAAAACTATACCCGTCATCCTGGGGCCGTCTGTGAGGCTACAGCTCTGACCTTGTGCCAAAGACATTGGCAGTAATGGAATGTGAACACAAATGGTCACTAGACACTTTAGCACCACATCATTAAACACAGCTGTAAATGGTTATATGTCTCTGCTGTCCGTCTGTTTGCTCCACCCGAGGCACGTTAAAAAAAAAAAACAACCCAGGGTCAACATTACGGAGGCAGCATCCAAGAAATTGCATTGTTGGCACATATTCCACTAACACCAGAGGCATGATGGGAAGTTGAACTAAGGTAACTCTGATAGCATCATTCCTAATGGTTATGAAACCTCAGTTGGTGTGATCATTGAGGTAGGTGGTGCAGTAAAAACCCAGATCTGTTCTCAGAGGTTGGAGACAGAGCTGCTTCAACATCGGGTGGACTTCAGTTTGGGTTGTTTTTTTTTTTTTACCTTTTGCCAAGGACAGAGTGTGAGTTGTGAAACACAGATCTGCAGAACAAACAGTAAGACTGACAAGTGAGTGAGGTGATGGAGACGGGGATGGCACACAGCCCAGTACACGCTGCACTTACTCCCTCCATGTATCTCTGGCTGTGCTTCTGTGGTGTCTTGTCTCTTCCTGCGCCGTCCAGATTTTGACAGCTTGTCATCTCACATGACAACTCTCCTGCCGTATTTACATCCAACTAAATGCTTGTGTAAAGAATGTCACCAGCTGTGACCGTCAGTGAGCATTAGATGGAGGAAACAAAAAACAAAAAAACCCGTCACCTGTGTGTAACATGGACCCTGAACACAGTTGACTCTTGCAGTCTTTGTGCAGCAGCAAAGGTCGGTTGTCCTTCAGTCTGGAGAATCTGCTTCGAGCTTTATTGACAGCTCTCAAATGGTTGCGTTTGTCCTTCAGAAAGTCATCCCGTCTTTGCGGTGTTTCCCCGGCTCTGGCCTTCTGATGGATTACATTGACCTGACAGTATTGAACCACTTGAAGTGATTCATCAATAGAAGTTCATTTGAAGTGAAGAATGAAGTGTTTTGAAGCCAATGGGACGGGCGAGGTTGATGAGGCTGATAACCTCCTAACCTGTTAACTTAGCGCTAACTATCATCCCTTATTCCACTTCACCAGTCCTTCAGAGCTACATGTAGAGACAAACGACCATTCACACTGTCGTGTTTTACCACTGACCACCTGGAGAACTGCCTAAACCTCATGCAGAAAGACCACCAGGTCACCAAGCATCCTAAAGTACAGGCTTAACTTATTTACCGTCCTTTGATTTTTTTCATACGTAGGTTTTTGTGTCCGTCAAAGTCAGCTAACGTCCAAACAGACTTGACAGACACTGTATCAGTAAATGAGCCATGGCATTAGGGAACCATGCTTCCAGTAAGAGACTTAGACTTTGGGATCCCAAACCCAAAAACCCAGGGCTTGGACAAAAAAACATTTCTGAATTTTAAGGAAGCTTTAAAAAAATGGCAGCGTTCCCAGACAACAATTGTGCGTAGATACCATATGGTGCCGAGCTGTGCTGAGTTCTTCCACAAGCAAATTGAGCATGTGTATTTAAATGAAGGTCAATTGGCTGCCATATGGAGACGACACAAATTGCACACTTTCTGTCCATGCCCACCTGGATGTCATTCAGCCTTTGGAAAACTCAAGTGGGAACCCCGAGGATAAGCTTCTGAGCTGGAGTGCCCAATAAAAGGTAAAGAAGACAATGTCCAGTGAGGACATACGTCAGCTGTTGTTGGAGAACGTATGTTAGCCAATAAAAAAACAAAGTAGTTAGTGCGAAAAATCCCCAAACAACAGAGTCTTCAGTCCAGACATTACTGAGTTAATTCAGTTATGTTTACTCCAAGTTCGGCATGTGAACCACTGCAGTCCACAGCCAGCAGTAGTATTGTGATAAACAGGATTCACCATGGAAACAAGAGGAAAACAAAAAACTGCTCTGCATAGTTCAACCTTTAGAGGTGGAAATGATGCTGGAAACATACAGAAAAAACCCCAAACAAAAACGAAGATATATTTAGAAGAAGCTACAGCATAACATTAGATGAAGCTATTGTTTTTTTACAGCAGGAAAATAGTGACCAGGTTGACATTTAAAGTAGAGAAAAATGTCCTTCATTATTGAAAGTGACAAGTAAAAACAATAGTGAAGCTAAAACTGATTTAGGAGACTGGAAGAGGTCAAATCAAATCAAAACAATTACGGTAAATAGTAGACTGTTTTCCTCAACATAATGGCCTTTTTTAAAACAAAAAATAAATATGAATTAATTTGTTTTGGTTTCCTGAATAAAAGAATAATTCAGTGTTAGCTTAGCATAGCTAATATATAGTGTTTAAATTGAATTAAGTTAAAATAGATAGATAGATAGATAGATAGATAGATAGATAGATAGATAGATAGATAGATAGATAGATAGATAGATAGATAGATAGATAGATAGATGAAGATGTAGTGAAGTCAGAGACTCAGGTATTGTTTTGTTTTTAATGTATATGACGCTTCAGAGTCGACTGACAGAACAGTCAGTTTCTGAGTTATAGCCTGAATCTATGGAACAAATAAGTTCATCACTTTGTGACCCTTTCTCCTCTGGACATGTCCATCACACCTTGAAGAGTTGACAGGCAGGCTGGTGCTGTCAACAGATCCACTCTTCCACGCATCATTTACTGCTCAGATGGCACGCAAACACTGTCTTTTGCGTTTCTTTCTTCTGATCGGTTCATGATCAGTTCACTGCTGCAGCTCTCTCTCTCTCTCTCTCTCTCTCATCTATCCCTCACTTTGATCTCTCTGACCTCCGTCACTTTCTGTCTCCGTCTTTCACGTCGCCTGTTTTCACTCAGGCTGCGCTCCAGTCACGGTTGGCGTGTCTCCCAGTAAGTTGCCCAGAGTTTCCCAGCTGCTTTATTTGTCACACTTATCTGGGTGACCTATTTCTGTAAACACTCACTTCAGTGCTACGTACGTGATGAAGCACTCTCAGGTAGTTTAGCACATCAACAAAACAAAACAATCCGATCGATAGCATGAAGATTCTTCATATTCTAAACCTGGCCACAAGACACAACTTAAAGAACAAACAGAGGTATTTAAAAAATGATGTACACAAATAGATTTACCAGCTGATTAAACAAATCATGGCATAACTTCGTTCATCATTCGAGGTTGTCTCCGTGAGTCTGAAAACATTTGATGTCAAATAGTTTCAGATGATCATTTACGTTGGTTGGATGTACTACAGAGATAGACGCTGGTCTGGTTGTAAAATAATCCCTAATATACTGGTTCTGGAGTGATGTATTGTGTCCTTGTGACTATGAAATGTGTGAGATTCAAGCAAAGCTCCGAAGATTTACAGACGACTGTGAAGAGTTACGACTGGGAAAAGACTATAACAAGGAGAGAGAAACGTCAGACTGCTTTTTGGAGAGAAATGAAAAGAGGTTCACTGTGTTTGAATGAGATAAAGAGGAAGAGGTCGTTAACCATATCAGTGAGACGGTTCGATTATTAAGGCTCTCACTCATTCTTCCCTTTAAACTGGAATGGAGATGAAGGTCAACTTCCTCCATACAGAGATGGAGGAAGTTGAAGGACGACCGTTCATCTTTTATAGAAAAATCAAGCCCGGTGTCACGTTCTGACGAGCCGTTCCCACCGCCTGTTCTGCTTCTGCTTTTCTTTGATCTTTCTGCCACAGAGATGACGAGCCGTTCCCACCGCCTGTTCTGCCTCTGCTATTCTTTGATCTTTTTGCCACAGAGACTAGCACGTTAGCTTTTGAAGTGACAAAGCTGTTGAGCTGGAGGGCAGAAGAGTCTGCAGTGAACGGTGAATTGTTAACAGTTGGGATCAGTGCCGTAGAATAGTGAGAGGGAAGTGGTTCAACATGAGGCAGCGGTGGAGCAGGGCCGGAGCTGAGTCCAGCTGCTGGACCTCTCCTTCAACCTGTGTTTGTACTACAGAGGTCCATGAGCTGCAGGTGGCGCTCCACTCTTGTCAGACAGACAGTGGTGGTGATGAATGTACCAGAAACAAATACATTAGACCAGTTCACGGTTGAACTGAAGGATCTTCAGAGCTGGACCATGAGAGCAGATGTCTACGATAAGATTAGAAACAAAAAGTAAAAAATCAGGAACACACCAGCAGGCCGCACTGATGAGGAATCTTGCAAGAACAATCTAGCAGAGAGAGAGAGAGGCTTGTTTGACGGGCGGACTGCTGATGAGGAGCAGGTTGGAACACAGGTGAGTGGAGGACTCCAACAGAAGGAGCGATGAACGCTGAGGCAGTTAAAATGACAGAGAAGAGTGATCGGCCGGACGCAGACCAGCAGACCGTGAAACGACAGGGGAAATGAGGGAAACAGAGGTAAAAAGGTAAACTCAGCAGCAGCAGCATCACAGGTGAGGTCACCTAGTGGTTGATAAGCCACAGCACACCTGGACACTAGAGCTTTTTTTCATCAGGCTGTAGCCATTTTGGGTGTTCAATTAAAGAAGATATTATTATTTAATATTCAGGTTTGAATTCTGACTCTTCACCCATCAATGTCTGTTGACCTGTAGGTTTAACTGAATGGAGGTGCTGATACTGACATCACGTGGTACATGTCATACGAGTGACACTGTTCAATCACTTCCAGTCATTGTACTTAATAACATTAATGTGCCTGGTGGTTCTAGGTTCTAGTTGGGGAAGTAGGATATTCACACCTTTGTCTGGTGTTAAAGTCCACTCCTGTGTCGTCATCGATAAAAACAAATTGTTTTAAAATCGATGAGAGTTTGAAAAAAAGTTGATCTTTAGAAGAGGGTGATTATTTTTAACAAAGCAGTTAGGAGAACAGGTGAACTTCCTGACAGGCGCGCTCTCACACACGCACGCTCTCTCGCTCTCTTTCTCTCTCTCTCACACACACACGCACGTACACACACAGAGAGAGTGTGAGGGAAAGCTCTATCTGCTTTCCTCCAGCATTTCTGTTTTCAGTTTCTACTAGGAGGATGCTGCTGCTGCTGCTGCTGCTGCCGCTGCTGCTGCTGCGGCCGG